TTAAATTCTAACCTTAACTTTAACTCTAATAATTTATAAAATTACTTAAATTAGTTCAATAAAGTTAATTTATATATATTATAATTGTATAATAATTATATATGCCCACCTATACTAAAGATTAACCGAAAAAATATATATTCAACACTTGTATATTAATACTTAATTACTTTAGTATATTAAGTAAAAATTAATATCTAATTTTATTATGATGTAATTGTTTTCAAATTTATAAAATTAGATATCAATCTTAAATTAAAAAATTTATTTTCTATTTTTAATTATTTCAAAAATATCAATAATTTAATATATACAGTAGTATTAGTATAAGTATATTAAACAAATTTAAATTTTAATATTAAATCTAATTGTAACAACCTGTTACACACTTATTTGTAACAACTCAATTAGTACAACAATAAAAAAACCCTAACTACTATTGGCTAATACGAGAATATTTATTCTAAAATAAATATTTCATTTAAAAAAAAAATTTAAAAACTTTATTTAAAAGCAAATATGCTTTAGTGTTTAAATTATAGTCTAGATTTGCTTGAGCAAAATTTTTTTAAACATGAACATTTTTATAATAAAGAATTTTTTTTGATATTTATACTAAACTTGCAAACTATTGCTAAGATTTTTTAAAATATATACGTATAATCTTAGTATATAGCATAAACACGATTTCGACCGTTAGAAAAAACAAAAAAACGTGATTATGATTTATTTTTTAATTTTTTTTAGGGTGGTCGCACTAGTCAACGTTATGTACCAATCAAACAACGGTTAAACAATGATTTTCAAATATATTCTACACGCCCTGCCCTACATTCGTAGAACTTTATAAGCCGCAGTTCCTTCCTGATGAAAAATTTGTGTTGAAAAATAGTTTTTTGTACGTACCAAAAAACTTTCAACTGCCTACTACGTCACCTTGTTTGTATAGAATCTACACTTGTTATTAATCAAAACCTGAGGTGGAAAAAAAACCAATAAAAAACTCCAACAGCAAAAAATTCTTCCTTCGTTATTGTAATGACCTTCAAGGGCTATCTTGCCCTAGATCTTTTAACCTATACTCTTGCATAAGTTACTATGGACACATATGCTTCACACTCTTCAAAGGGGAAGGACACTAATGTATCTGGTGATGATTCTTTAACGGTAGGCTTAAATCTTGAAATCTCTGCTTGATTCAAAAGTTTGAAATTACTTCCCTTAAGAAGGTCGATTTGACCTTGGGATCTTTTCAGTGGCTTAAGTAATATTTTCGTTACCTTCAAGAATGTCGACTCGTACTTTTATCTCTTTTAATCTTCAGACTCTCTTGAAGATAACGTTGAGCCTATTGCTAGAGCCAGTGGCTTAAATATGTATCACGTGCTATGCGCAGTAGAAATACTAATTCATGTTCGTATTTATTTATTTTACAGTCAAACATACAGGAACTTAGAAAAAAGGCCGAAGAGCTCAGAAAACAAGAATACAAGTAATTCTTGCTAGTCCGCGTAAATTTTCTATTATATTTTGTGCAACAAAATTTGGTTTTAATCGCGCTCTTGCTGTAAATTTAATGCATTCGTTAGAGAGATACTCGATAGCCGCGAATCCGTATTGAAGGAGTTGTTCTATATGATAAGTAAATCTGATAAATCTGATTACATGACAGAGATAGACGTTTCCAAAGTCGATCAAACAAAATTGCAAGAATTTTTGCACAAACACCAGCTACCTGAAAATATGGATGCGCTGAAAAGGTTGGTCTGTCATTGGCTACTTTTTTGTATAACAGTGGTGGGAAACTTTGGGTGGCTTAGTAATGATCATGAGCTATCAAACGTGATTCAGATACTAAATAACTATAAAACTTTAAACAATTATCTTTCGTCACGTTCGTCGAAAACTTCTCGCTTTATATAGCACGCAACCTACTTTCAAAACTGCTAGTCAAAGTGACCCATTTTTAACAAACAAATCCCAAGTATCACAAACATATCAACCGAATAATCAACCGAATATTCAGTCACAAAACCAAAACGACCAAACAACACAAGTAAGGAAACAAAAACGAGTTTCACTACCTCCCGTTGAACGTATGATAACTCGCGCTGCCAGTGGTGCAATTAATCCAAAAAGTGTCGACGAAATTCTAAAAGACGCGGAGGTATGTGTGTAAATTTCTTTTGAAAAACAACTTTATATACTATCAAACGTATCACCACCACCGCCCTTTTTTTCAAACTACGGCAGAGACACTCTTCCATTGGTTCCTCTGTTACTTCAACTTCTCCAACGACTGCAACTATCTTTAAACTTCCCACCACCAAACTTACTATTCCACAGAAGAAACAAACACCCCAGCGAGTTTCTACTGTTTTGCCTAGGAACGGAGAGGCGAGACCAATGGTTGCTGCATCGATGGGTCGAGGGTTGGAACATAATCAAGCTCGATCATTTGATCGAGAAACACTTATCTCTAATTATAATAATCAACCACTATACAAATTACTTC